GGGGGGGGGGGGGGGCGGGGTGGCAGGGAGTGGCACACAACAGCGCAAGGGTTTGCGCGCGCGCTGCGTCTTGCGATGCAACCCGAGGCCACGACGCCGCTGGCGAACAGCTGCGCCCCGCCCGGTCGTCGCCGCTGTTCGCATTTCTGTAAGCCCTGCCCAGCTCCCAGGGCCGCGCGAAAGCACCAAAAAAAGCAGGGAACATGCCCGCCACCCGACCCTGATGGCCGTCCAGGAACGCGCCTGCTCATGTCGCGCGTTTCCATGACCAGCAGTGCCGAAGCCAGCGGCATCACGGTGCCCCACACCGCGTCATACGTGGGGCAGGCGCTGGCGGGCACCACGCCGCACGCCGCCAGGGCGCACCCGGCCAGCATGGCAAGCAGGGGCGCGGAGATGGCGGCACCCCATTGGGTACGCCCCTCTGCCACCGCAGCGGCCGCGGCAGAGGCAGCCACCGCCGCCCACACAGGAGCCGCCTCAGGTAGCAGGAACGCCGCGGTGGCTTGCGGGAGAACTGCTGCCGGGGCGGGCGGGGCTTGTCGTCGACGAAACGACGCCCCACGCGCGCACGGCGCCGCTGCTGCAGGCGCTGCGAACGATGACGTAGCTCGGTGCAAGTTGAGCTGCGCTGCTCGCCGGCTGTGCAGGTGGCCGTGTTGCTCGCAGCGGAGATACCGCGGTTGGTGTGCCAGCAGGGGGACCGCCATAATTGCTCGCGCTGCAGGGCGGACCACTTTTATTTGTTGTGCAAGGCCGAGCTGATAGCAGGATTTCCTGGATACCCGGGATGAATGATCTCGGGGTTTGATGATTCGGCACCCCGACGAACGGTATAGTATGATAACAGCCAGTTCGGCAATAATCGTGCTTCTCGGAAACCACTCCTCATCAAGCGCAGCGCTAGTCCCAATGCAAACTGAGCGCTGCGCAGCACGCACAGCATGCCTGGCCTCCTCGTTGCAGGAGCATTGTCGGGTGGGCAGCTGCCGGGCTAACCGCCTCGGTTCTCCATTGATGCGACGTTCATCAGGCGCGCTCGAAAGTTCCCTGCAAGACTGCGGGAACCGCAGCTGCACAGTCAGCCGCTTGGCCTTTGAACCAGAGGCTGCTACCACCCACTGCTGGCAACCACACTTTGTGTCAACAGCGCGTCGAGATGAGGCGTGTGTGAGAGTGGACCAATGAATGCTGAGCAACTGTTCTGCCCGTGCGCATGTGCGTGTGCGTGTGCGTGTGCGTGTGGAAGAAGAGGGGCGTTTGTGAGTGAGTGGGGTGGGTGCCCGAAAGTCACGGTGACGGTCGCCCTTCCGGATATCCCTCTTTGCCCCAATGAGACGCGGCCCGATCGCATAAGCTCCACCCCTGTCTGAGAAGCGGGATGCCACCCTACCCTGTTTAATAAAGGGGCGCGTCGCTGCTTCGGCCAGAGCGGGCGCTTGTGGTGGAGACGGTTGTGGCATAGCGGTTGCGTGGCGCTCTCAAATTGGACCAGCCTGTGCGTTGGGTGGAGTGGCACCGCCAAACAGCTGGCAATCACATGGCCGGCAACACCATTTCTTCGTTACAATTGGTTTGGTCCACAAAAGTCTGTTCTTGCCTGCCTGATGGTGAGGGTTCCGATGGTATCACCCACGGTGATTGATAGTGTGTGATGGTACTGCTCTTCAGCGACCAGGATTGGGCACGGCCGCCGCACACCTGTCGCAAGCACCACTCCGCCCCGCTCACAAGGGGCCAATGCCACGGGATCTGTACGACTTGACGAGCCAACAACGCTGTACTGCGCGCGTCGCGGCACCATAAGGCGCACAGCCTCTTGTTGCTGCTGCTGCCTGTGTTGTTGACGCAGCTGGGTGAGGTCCTTTGCACGCACGCACCAGCAGCGGAGCATACAATGCTGACAGTGCGGATCGTCATGAGTAAGTAGTAATCAACAGCGGTCGGTGGTGCGGTGCGTTGTGATGCATCAAGAGGATGTTGGTGAGCAAAGCCTAGGGAGGGGGATGGGGGTCGCTAACAATGGGCGGCCCACGTCAGCTGAGCGCGGCGTCGCGCAGTGCAACGCTGGTGGCCGCCAGGAAGTGCCCCGTGCTGCGCTGCTGCGCCGAGCACAAGGCTTCTGCCTGCGCGTATCTCAGAGCGCACGACACCACTGCGGCGCTGGCTGCCGCTACCCCGCCCGCCGCCTCGGGCGCGCCTGCCACCCACAGCCGATCAAGCAGCTGGCGCAGCTGCTCGCCGGCATGCGCGTCGGCAACGCCGCAGCTGCGGCACGCCGAGCAGAACTCCCTGCGCGGACCAGATGCGCGGTGATTTGCAGAAGTTGTTGGGAGCGCACTGAACCGCTTGGCACCCAACCTCACCACAACCCGCTTGACAAGCGCGCAACAGCAGTCGACTTATCAGACAGGCAGCCGGCAGGAGGATGACCTCCCCATGGGGCAGGATAAACCCAGCTCGCAAGCGCTGACCTCACCGCCAAGCTGAAACCCCCGCTGCCCCCACGATTATCCCACCGAACCCACCCCCTCACCCTACCC